TGAGGCTGGGTAATGGTATCTTCCACTTTTAGGTGGCCAACTTGAGACCATAGGATATGAGCATTTCATGCTGGGTATCTAACACTTCTGACCATAAATATCGGTGTATTTTATAACTGGTGATATAGCTGCACAAATATGCTTAAAGAGTTTGCTCAGAAGACTCCTTTCCAAACTAAACCTGCATCTATTTTCCAACCTAGCATTAAGATACAGCAGGCAAGGCAGTTTTGGATAAGTAAAGGTCATGTTTTAGTTGTTAGGGAATATCATTAACCTCCTTCAGGCTCGTCAAACCAGAACATCCTCTGGTAAGCCATTCCTTGCACAGATACAGTTCATTCCTTACTCTTTGAATGGTGTTCCCAGCCAAGAGTATTTGTGTTACAAAATAAAATGTATACCTCCAAATAAAAAAGAAAAATAGATTTTTAGTTTTAATTAAATTGTAAATATTTACATTACATTTAGCTAATCCTTGGCTGTTCAACCTCCATATCTTGAGAACCATTTTCTCTGTGGAAAATATGATATGAAAATGAGCATATTTCAGTTTCTATTTTGACACAGAAACTAATATGCTAGCTCAATGGCTCCTGTGATCTGGAATTTTGTTTTCAATGTTAATAAGTACTGAATGCCTTGTAGTGGAGTATGAATATCCAGTAAGGAATAATTATACAGAAATGCACACCCAAGGAAATCTTTTCAGATGTCAGTGATGAAGGAGCAAGTCAGTCAGTGTTACTTATGAATGATGATCTTTGCTGACACAACTGTGAATAATATTTTAAGTATTCACTTAATGTTTCACCTCCCTCTGAATCTAATGAACCTAGTGGCCTTAGTGACCTCTACTTTGACAGTGGGTCCTGAAGTTTTAACTTTGCCTTGGATGATGTGTTGCTGAAAAAATATTGTTTTTTATGAAGCTAAAGAGATGTCCCTTGAATTTTATTAGCATTAATTTAGAAATCATGAATTTTCCAACTGTTCCTTCCACGGAGTTTCCTTATACATATTATACTATAAGAAATTACCCAATGAGTTCTCTAAGCGAGGTATTTACAGAGCTTTCCGTAATGGTTTTTATTTTGTCTTAAGAGTTTCATCAACTTCATTCTTATATTTCTTATAAGTAGTATGAATAACTTAGCAGAGTTATTTCCATCAAACCTAGAAATGCCTTTGTTCTGTGTTAAAAATTATTTAATCCATTTGTGCTCATTTGTCTCTCTACTAGACAAGTTTCCAAAGAGCATACTTTGTCCCCTTACATCTCAGAATGACCTCTAAGCTGGTTTACTTCCATTTCTTCAGTGAATCCCATGGAGGACCTTCAGCTTTCATAAAGTTCCTATCAATCATGAGTTGGTTTCCAGTGTAGGGGACTTAGCTCTACAATCAGTGTATTTGAAAATCCCAGCCTGGTCGTGAATTTTTAAGGGAAAAAATATATCAACATTTCTGCATAGGTGGGAGGCAAAAAGTATTCTTACTGCCCAAAGATATACCTTATTAGACTTCTATTTTAAAAAACAAAAAGCAGAGAATGTCCTTTCAAAGAATGATCTCGGTCTTTGCTATGGATTAGGTGGATTTTCAAAGCAGTTCCCCTTTGCTGCCAGCAATCTATTAGTTTTATTTGGATTGAACTTCAATCTGCTTTCTAATGTCCCTCCTGCAATTTCAGCTCTTGATCTTGTGATTATTTCATCTGCCAGAAGTCTTGTAAGCTTTCAAAAAGTCTCCAGATGCTTGTTTACATCCAGAAAAAATAGTCCAAAATATCTGAAGGTGTTAATCCAAAGTATATTAGCTAAACTGGATTAAACTTGCATTATTTTGGAAGGTAATTCAGTGAAATGACATTAAAGACAGTTCTGTTGTGAATGAATGTGTCCACACAGTGATCTAATACAGTTTAAATTGCGCACTTCAAAAATTTAATTTGGATCAAGTTCCTTGTGTGTCTCTGGGGACACAATCCCTACCACAGCCATGCCGCATACACAGTGGGGAAGTGGTTTATGATGCACTGGAGCCCACTGCACACCCCTGCATAGTTCATGGCTGATATCACTGGGCTCAAGTGGGAGCTGATATGTCTTTGAGTATGATCAGCTTATTGTCTGTACATAAAGCCATGCTGCCATCGTCGCCATTACCATTATGCAATAGTGTGCAGAGTCTCGAGTGGAAATCAGAGTCCTATTATACTAGATACTAAATGAGAAAAAAAAATAGTTGGCTCCTGTACAAAGAGCAGAGCCTAAACAGCTGCTGGCTGAGCTGGGCAGGCTGTGAGCTGCAGCAGCATCAGGTCTCCCAAGTCCAGCCTGGTGCTTTGCCTGAGATATCTAGTGATGCAGAGAGTCTGCATGGGAGAGCCAGGCCTCTGACTCCCTGAAAAAGTAAAATATGAGAATTTCTAACCTCCTGTACTGGATCACAGAGCCAAATCAGCATCAGCTGGTATGACCAGCTGTGTTCAGAGCAATGCTAGCCACCCAAGCTGAATTATTTTGCTCATGCAAATGTGCTCATAAGGAAGCCACACTCTATGTATTTGTGTCATGTTGCAGCCTACATCTGGTTAAAATATCCTTCTCTTCCCAGCTAAGTGCTCTGGGAATTACTTGATGCTTATTGCCTTTTTGATCCCCTTCAAAATTCAGTCAAGTCTGATAGGACTTGTAATGATTTTCTAGCCTGCCATGCATTGATTTTTCTCTCCTTGGGGAAAAACAGAAAACCCCATGAAGTTCTGGGAAATAGTTTATTGTTTTTCATATATTTTACCAATTGCAGGCCAAAAATATAATGAAAATTCAGGTTGTTCCACCTGAATGCAGTCTGAAAGGTTGTAACTGTCAAACTAGAATATAGTTCCAAGATCTTGAAAAGGCCAGGTACCTTCAACAACATTTTTTCTTTAAGAAAATGCCAGCTATGGGCTTGGTTGGGTCAAAAAGTGGTTTGTATTACATTGTCAGCTTTGTAAAAGGAACAGCAAAGTCTGGAGAAGCATTTTGTAGCAAGAGGAATAATAGCTCTGTCAGTCAATTCAGAAAACAGCTTTTAGGAAATGTATTTTTACCCAAAGTGAGTCAGTGAGACCAGATGGATGACCACAGTAAGTGGAGCCACTGCCTATATTTAAAACTGGACTAATGAGCTTGACCACAAGGGTAAATTTTTCAGTATGTTTGGCCGACATTTATGTTTTCAATTGTTGCACATAGTAGAAGATTTTCCTTGAAATAATTTTATAGTGAAACTAAGGCACACAGAAGGTCTTGACTTAACATGGATAACTTCATGGAAGTGTTAGTCATGGACAGTGTGGAAGCTGAAATCATTGAATTCTCTCAAACCATTGAAATGTTGCTAGGAACAGGAAAAATTTTTTTGACCAACATATTTTGATTATGTTTTCTTTGAAAAAAATGCAGAAGCTTAAAAGAGAGGGCTAGATTATGAGCATCAATCTAGGGCAGAGTGAAGGGGAAGGACAAGGAGGTGGTACAGAAACTTCTGAGTTCTAATTCTGTGTCAAGTGAATTAAAATCTCCTAGTGTTTTCCTTTTATTAGAAACTAATCTGTCTGAAACTGCTTTTAACTTGCCATAGGGTAAAAAAACATATACTAGTGGTGCACGCAGTATGCATGTGACCAGCTGACATATGGTAATTTCATGCCCAGCAGTAATTTGTTCATGTGCTTGAGACACATGATACAAACACAAGTTACTTGCATACTGAAATATGTGTTTGTATATATATATACACACATATATATATATATAAAATTCAATCTTTTTCCCTAACTCCTTGGGATAAAATGATGCAATTACTTTTGTAAGTTCAGAGTTGGATAGTATATACTGATACCAGTGTAAGGGAACTAAGGCTTCTTAAAACTTAGGAGGATTTAGAATTATTGGTCTTGACTATCACACTTCAGCAAAGTGAGGAGAGCTACTGTCAGTAGAGACTACTTTTTATACCTATCTTAAGTCCCAATTTGTCTGCTAAAGCAAACAACCTGAAATTGTTGTATCCATCTCTCCACTGAGACGGTGCTCCCATTGACCTGCTCTGTTTAAAGTGGTCATTTTACAAAAAGGAAGCCACGGGACAGCATGATTTGTTTTAACATTATCCATGGGCAGTGCAGAATGCACAAGTGTTGGACCAAAGAAGCTGCAACAAAGAGTGAATGTTGAATTATCTATCAAAATAAAACATTTTTAAAACAAAAGTACTGAATGTTTCTGTTCCAGAAAAGCTTAGTTTTTAAATCAAAGTCTATACAAACTTCAGTGTTCTTATTTAAGAATAACCTACTATTAAAAACAGTCTTCACTGTTTTCCCTGCTTAGTGGTTAATGCAGCTGGAGTTTGTATGATTGTCTCCATCTCATCGCAAACAGCAATATTTTCATTGGTTATCATTTGTTCAGTTTTTAGACTAGCTTATGTTTTAAGAGGTGATAAAAATTTCAAACAGCTAGTGCAAGGCTTCTTACACCTTAGCAAATGCAGTGAGCATTTATTACTAATTAACTTAGCAGTGGCTGCTTGCATCCAAACACTGCACAAGTATTAATCTTCTAATCAGAGACTTATGAATGAGACACAATTCTGTGTGAACCATTTGGTGACCAAACTTAATTTTAAAACAGAAATTGCCAGATTGCTCATTGATTTAATTGGAGGGTTTTGAGCCTTCTTGCAAGCTGAATTGTTTCAACAGATAAGATATTGATAGAGGCCCAATTATGATGCTATTTAATGCAGATTGTAAATTTGGAGCAACTTTGTGAACTCAATGACTTTAAACTATTAATAATGAATGAGGAATGAGAATTATAAAACTGTTGGGATTGATGAGGTCAAAATTGAGAGCCTACACAAACAGTAACCTGAAAAATACCTTTATTCATTCTTGTTGATGAGTTTGAGGATGCTTTACCTTACTCTTGTGTTTCCCGCAGAGCTGCTCAGAAATTGAACCTGTCTTCCAAAAAGAAGAAGCACAGACCTTCTGCATCATCTGTTCCTGAATCTCCTCTCTTCTCTACCTGCTTCAGCAGTATTCTTCAGACTTCCCCACCACCTGCACCACCATGTTTGTTGAGGGCAGTCAGCAAAGTGAAAGACACCCCTGGTTTGGGCAAGGTAAGCCTTGCAAATACCACTAAAACACTTGTTTTCTTTGGGAGATTTTATCCTTGTTCAAAACATTAAGAGAATTGGAAGACTGTGTCCTTTCTCAGTTGGATTTACTGTGGTTGGTTCCTGAACGCGTATACAAAGGCCTAATAACCTGAGTCACTTAGTGCAAATGAATTTCTAATGAAGTTGACTTGAACACAGACAGAGCTAATTGTGTAACAGTAATATACTTCAAGACTCAGCTACATTAATGTACCTGCACTGAGACCACAGTGGGGAGGTAATATCCATTCTGCCAGGGTTTCAGGAGCATTTGGTCTCCATGACTGTGTTTAAACTGCATCACAGTTGCTTGCTGTCGCATGTTTTGTGTTCCTGATCCCCTTGCTTTCCAGACTGGTGTCTTGGCTGGACACACTGTAATTTGCTTCTGGCTCATGTTTCTTGGCTTTCTTCCAGTATATATACCTGAACAAAACCTATGCTGATAATGATAAATTGCTTCTTTTTCTTCCTGTCATGTTATTTTCTCCCTTTCTGCATAATCATTCCCTCTTAAAATGCTGTTTAGGTGCACACTTATGCTGAGGCGATGGAGGAGGTAGCTATTTAGTTTGCTGTTGCTTTGCAGTTTGTCAGAGTGGACCTTCCTTTTTCCCTGTCATAATTGAAGAGCGTGGCATATTACATCTGGGAATGCATGCAGACAGTTGCTGAGGACAACAGTTTGTTTTAATCAAGGTAGTTTCTTATGCAAGCATCTGTGTACGTGACTTTTCCATATTCATTGAATACTAAGCAGTGACAATGAATTTGGTGAAAGTTTTTGTTTAGAGGAGAAATTGTAATGTATGACCTAGGAGTGCTGAGGATGGGCCCCAGAATTTTCACTGCTGATTTTGGATACCCCCTTTCTTATATTGTGCAGTTCCAGGGTTTTCTTTCAAAGAACAATGGTATTGCTTTCATGGCTGCTGTAATGCCTGTTTGAAAAGAGATTCCCTCCACATGGGGCTCCCTTTGTTTCCTCTGGCCTGGTAGGTGGGAAGAAACGCAGAAATCTATCGTGATCTTATAAAAGTTTAATAGTGATGCATACTTTGACTAGCAGGGGGAGGAGGAGTAAACTTGAACCTGTTCATTGTTGTAAGAAGTTGCTATAGAATAGATTTAAAATGGAAGCCATCCTTTCAGGAGTCTCACTTTTCTGTGCCTAGGACAGGTTACATCTGAGTAAAAAGTTCATTGAGGAATAATGAAGGGTGTGTGCTTGAAAACAAACTTTTCTGGACTATCAGTCCGGAAGACCACAGAGACACAAACATAGCTCTGTCTGAACATTCCAAGCTTGATCTGAGCCGTTCTTGTTCCTCTCATCCCTGGTTTCCACTGGAGAGGGCTTGGAAAATAGTTTTGCAGTATGCCCAAACAGACCCGTGATTTGCTTCTTCATCAAGATCATGTACCAGAACAGGCTCCAGGCTTTCCAGCTGTGTGAGTAAAACTGAAGTTTTGCAGCCCAGATCATGAAGGTGATATTTCTTTTCACTTTAGACTTGTCATCCTGAAGCTATCAGGCTACATGATACATAGCTAAGAGGTTTTAACATACTACTTCTTCAAAATAGTAACCCAAATAAGGTTATTTCATATAGTCAAAATAGACAAAATTAATTTTTTTTTCATATTTCCATTAGCAAAAATATGTTTAACCTGCAGTTCTTGGAAGCCAGTTTCATTTTTCATCTCTTTGGTTTCTTATAGAAGTCACCCTATAATTGCAACCTGAAGCTTTTACGCTTTCATCGAAGTTTCCCATCAGTTTACCTCTGTAGCACAGTTTTCATTTTAATATGTCAGAAATAGGTGCGAGGCACAATAAGTAAATAACTACAGAATAACAATATAATTTATCTATCAGACTGGGAGAACTTCAGATGAGGTAATGGAATTTCCAGCTTATTTGCTTTTAATTTTCATTGTTATTTATACATATTCTGTTCAGTTTGGTTGGGATGTGTTTTGATAGGAGTGTGCTAAAAAACTGTTACTTTTCTCAGCATTTTGTCTCTCTTCTGTAAGGGTATAAATTTACAGAACATGGACCCATGTGTAGGTAGTGGGTTCAGGGAAACTAAATGTTATTTTCAATCACTTACAGTTTTTTCTTGGTTTGTATTTAAATAGCATTTTACCAGCAATCTCAATTTGATAAAACTCTGTTTCACTTTGGATTTAAGTGGGCTGGGCAATTTCTAATATGACCGTTTGTTACTGGAAAGTCTGGTTCACCAGAACTGAAACGATAGCCTTTGCCAAGGATTCTGGATTTCTGAGACTCCAGGGGCAGCTGTGCATAGGCTGCCTGGAAGGCAGGCTCACTGCTACAGGGCTGTGAGCCCTCACACAGACTCTGTGTATCACTGGCTTGGTGTCAGCCTGAGAGCTGTCTGTGTGCCAGGGCAGGTGGGTATCTGAGACGTGAAGATAGGAAGTCGGATACTTCAAAGCTTAGTGTTTGAGGTTAAATTTCATTTCACAGTTTTCTAAAATGAACTTGCAAGATAACAGCTGCTATTTTCATTTGTACTAGAAATTTCAAAGATTCTACTTCTCATTGCAAATTAAGGACAATGATTTATTTAAAATTGTAGAATTGCTCATCTGTTATATGTAGGCAGAAAATTTTTTTAGTTAAAATAGGAAGATCTGCTTGTCAGCAATATATTTAAAAGTTAATTTGCAGCTCAGTACAGATATGTATGGGTACAACTAAAGAGTCTAAACTGACAAAGAGAATTAGAGATTATATATTCAGGTTGCATGCTTCACACCTTTTCTTACAAAATGCCTTGCAAATCAAAACTGTACCAGCCTGGACTTTAGAAGAAGTATTATTTGAAATCTAAAGTTCAGCTTCACAGAAACAGGAAGATGATATTAATAATGAAATGGTGGGACTGCACAATCAGCATTTTACTTTGATGTTAGATACACCACTGAGCCTAGCAGAACATACAGCAGTGTCAAAGGGAAATAAAGTATTAGAGGATAAGATTCTTTGTTGCACTTATTTCCAGATGATGATGATGTTAAATAAAAGGGTGTGACCATGCTGCAAATATATTAACAGCGGTGCTTGTATGGGTCGTAATGTATGCATGTGCTTTAGGTTTGCATTTGCTGGCAGAGGAATATGATCTTGAGTAGTAGTGTGGTATCCCCACACCTGCTTCTTGAGAGCAGAGATTGCTCTTTGGGCTGAGTGACAGTCCTGCTCCATATACTGCCACAGCTTCCTTGTCACTTCTGCTCTCTCTGCTGTCTTTGAGTCATCATATTCTGAGTGGCAGATTGCTTTTACTGGGTTTACAGAGAGTGCTACTCTTATGGATGGTTGTACATGATGTTTCCCCAAGTCCCATAGTTTTCCTGAAGACACTCCTTAAGTCTGTTTATTCTTCCTGACAATAAGCCAAAAACAGAGAAAAAAGGCTTTCTGTGCATAAAGAACGAATTATTCCATGCCTGCATGAAATGGCCGTGTAGGGCCATTCTAGTAAGGTTTGCTCCCCAGTCTACTTCCCTCCTCCCTCCTTTGTCTAAACCAATACTTTTGATGAAAATGGGAAATGTTCTTTCTGTGAAAGACGATGTTTTGCTGATTTCCACACGAAAAAAGGCTGAAATGAAAAATTTTCTGCCAGCCTTAATAAATAGGTTGTTTTCAGGTGGCACAGAGTTTAGGATGAATGGATGTGGTTTCTGTGCTTTCTTTCATTTATTATTTTTCTGTGTAGTCTTATAAACCTCTGTCACTGAGAGGTATTTGCTATGTTTGGGCAGAGATTAGTTTACTTTTCCTTACTTATAATTTTTTTTACTGTGAATTTTATTAGTTAGTACTTGTTAATCTCAAAATAAAATAACAATTCTTGGGCGTTAAAATAATCCCTTTGCAAAAGGTTTATACCAGGGAGAAGCAAGTCAGCACTGAACTTTCTTCGACTAGTCTTTTCAACCTATTAATAAAAGTGACTGTAATTTGTGATTCTATTTACTTTTTATTTTTCTGTAGCAGCAGGACTCCTGTTTGCAGACCCTAACTCTGTTTCACTAAATTACGTGTAAATTCAGATTTAAAAAAAATCCTGTTTCTGTCTAGAGCACTTATGATTTCGCTGTAGGGAGGAAGACCAGACAGGCAGAGAGACAGGACAAGAAGAAACAATTAGGTATTATCGGTTATCTTGATAGTGGTGTCCTCAACCCATCAGGAGTCTAATATTAGATACCCCTTGTCAAGCTGCTGTATGTGCTGTAGAAGAGGAGATTATTAAAATCTTTGAAGGGGGAGTAATAGGTTATGCTGCAGATGCTTCTGAGAAGCCCTTTCCAAGTGTGTAAGACAGGGTAGGAAGCAGCACAGAGAGGGGTTTTTGAGAGTCTAGTGAGTGAGTGAGCGATGCGTGAGCTGGTCTCCTGGCATCAAGCGCAGGGCTAGGCATGGAGTCTGGCTGGGAGGGGCCATGAATGGGAACCAAGCCGTGACCAAATGCCAAGAGTGGCAATAAGAGGTTAGTAGAAGATTGGCAGCGTGATAGAAACTCCTGAGTCAATGCACCTTTCTCCCAAGGACCTGTGTCATGTAGTAAAGAAGGTTCAGTGCATGGCTGAAAAATCTAATCTCCCATTTCAGCACAATATGTGATTGAAATAAGCCCGAAATCTACTATTCAGTTTGTGTTATTCTGCAGCTTAGCTTTTCTTCACATTGGTTTGCATAAAAATCTATATGGAAGCATCAGAAATATTTTTGTCTACCTTGAGAGTACCATACCAGCACAGGATTTCCAGAGCACTCAGTTTTGTCATTCCTTTTTGTGAATGTCACTGGGAGCTGGTACCTACTTCCCCAAGCCCAGTGAAGGTTCCACCTGTAATTGCTAGCTGGTGACTATATTGTTTGGTGAGGGAGAACACATTTGTGTGGGAAGAAGTGC